GGAGCAGGACTGTCAACACGGTGCAAGTCTGAATGCATGTTAAAGGCCTGGACACTCCTGGCCGTAGGACTGTAAATAGGTAAACATCACGCACTGAACAGGTGGCTGTAGCTCAGGAGGCAGAGCAGGTCATCTAACAAGCAGAAGGTTGGTGGTTCAGACGAGCAGGACACCGAACCTTAGTTTCTCTCTGATGTGTTCAACAGAGTGTGAATGTTGGATAAAAAGCACTTTGATAAACTCACCCACTGTCCTGTCCCTTTTATTTTGGAGGCAACAACTTAAAACAAATTGCACTCACACATGTGTGTAAGCAAATACATCATCGATATAAAAGCCTCTCTGCAGCCCCGCTGTAACATGACGGAGGACACTGCAGGAAATCTGAGCTTCAACTGAAAAACAAAATGACTCTTTGGACTTTGGAACACAGAAAAGCTTCATCTTCATCTTATCATGAAGACAGAAATCGATTCGGACCCAGAGTTACCCCTCTGCCTCCTAGTAGATGCACCTGTCGTATGAATTTCAAAATTTTACATCAGCTTGTTCTCAAGGTATTCCATTCACAAGATTTTCAGAAAACTTGACCTCTGACCTCTAACCTTAAGGATGCGGTCACTGAGAATCAAACTTCGATAAGATTGCCAGTAGATGCACCTGTGGTATCAGTTTAAACTCCTGGTTCTCGGCTCATCGACTTAATACACAAAATGAATATGCAGACGCCATCTGCACGAGTCATGTCATTCACTTACAGCTTGTGCTCCAGTCACTCTGATGGCATCCATGATGGCATCCATGTTCAAGTAGCTTTTACTGGTGGGGGCGGGGCCAACACAGACCGCCTCATCAGCCATCTTCACATGAACCTAGATCCATACAGAGCAGAACATTAACATCCACAGCAGGAGGTGAACCGAGGCTCACTGTGCGGCTAAAAAACCAACGACAGTTTTCACTGCAGTAATCTACTCATACACCCATTCTTTGATTAAAGGTTTTATTCCTGATGATGTGCTTTAAAGTCACTAAAGTGGTAAAACAAAAAAGTGAAAAATGAATGCAAAGTTCATCTAGAACCTCGGCACACATGTTGGGTTCGCTTTCACGTCACACTTGTGAAAGAGTTACAGAGAATCGTTTGAAGCAGCTGAGGCCTCGTGACTTTTTGCACTCTGTTTTTCGGGGTGATCTGAAAAGATCTGAGCTCACGCTTCCTGAAGTGCCACTCTGTTTTTGTATAATGTGCACACGGTGTTGTTCCATGGCATTGCAAGAGAACATGCTCTACCAACGTCCCACAAACAAAGCACCGACAAACATCGTTTAAAGCTCTCCTGCTGCTCACAAAGGATCTTTTTCAGCCAAATGTTGATTATCATTCAAACAAAGTTTACACTAAAAAGGTGATAAAGCTTTAAGGCGGTAGTGTACATGGTAATATCAGCACACAAACAAGGTTGTTTAATCATCAGTCAGGTATGAATAACATTAGTTATACTGTAACAGTCAGTGCAGAAGCATCAGCTGATTTATCACTGAAGTGTTAACTTTATACTATGTAATATAAAACTATTCCTAAAACTATTCCTCTTTGCATGAACGTGCATTAACTGTTAACTCTCAGGATAAAGTATTTAAGTTAACCTGAGCTTGAATTTAAGTTTAACCTACTGAATCACATTCAGAGACAAGTCCTCAGGTGAGTGTGAAATAAAACCAACATGCAGTTATTCAACACGAGGTTATGTCTAACAGCCGAGTTGCCCTGCTCCCTGGAAATGCACAGGCAGTGACTCACAGCGCTGGAGTCTACGTCACTGTGAACAGCCACAGTCTGGATCCCCATCTTCTTGCACGTCTTGATCACCTGATTGAAAAAAGGAAAATACCTCACAGTAGAACGTATCAGCACAGCCAATCACGAATCAGCTGCAGCATTAAAAGCACTGAGATATGAATAATATATAGATGATGTCATTATCTGTATTGGAAATCATGGATCCCGGACGTTTACCCCACCACAGCCCCCGTGCTGCTGCATAATATCAGGCAGCTGGTGAAGGGCAGAGCACCTTTCACAGCTGAGCCCTGCAGCTTCCTGCTGCAGCAATGAGACGGGCTGTGAGCTGCAGCTGCTCTCTGCTTCATTTTAAGATGAACAGTTTGACACGTCCACGCATGAAACACATTCATCGTGACCATGACTTAACATTAATCACACACGAAACATCTATTCACAGCTGTGTGAATGCTGTTTTTGGCATTTGGATAGGTCAGGGGTCCTGACCTGTTATTGTCAAGGATCACTTTGCTACCTGTGGTCCCAAACGAGCACAAGTGCTGTCACATTTAAAGAAATCTGGCACCAACTTGCTGTGAAAGTCGATGCATTTATCCGTAAAGTCAAAGTGGAATTCCCTCTTAGTCCCCCCAAAACAACCAGCTGTTAACTGCACATATTGTGTGAGTCAATGAGAGTTACCCTGCAAGCGATCTCTCCTCTGTTTGCAATGAGGATCTTATCAAAGGTCTGCGGAGGAAGAAGACAAACAGCAACGTTTCATTACTACAAAGACTTTTTACTCAACTTTGTACTGAAAGTAAAATATATAGATTTTCTTAATCAGCATTGTTGAAAACATGAACGAATACAAAAATGAAATAAGCAGACGAGAGCCGTGCATTACCTTTTCATTGGGACTAGATATGGTGGAATACTGAGCCTCTCTCTGCACAGCACAGCATCTGGACTGGAGAGGGGAATACTGCAGAGCACACAGCACAACTTTACTGTTAGTGTGCACACACACACACACACACACACACACACTCACACACACACGTAAAACAAGTAAATATCCAAATATGCTACAAAGAGCGTCTCATTGAAGTTTAAGTAAAGTCGGATATTTTCCTTTGAAGTTTTGCTTGAAGACTTCAAAGCATTCTTCTTCATTTTTATTCACAGTTTTGAGCCGGTAGAGCAGTGTGCTTGTGGCTGAAGTCCTACACAGGTGAGCAGGAAAACACTAACTGCACCTACTTATGCTCGCCAGGTTTGACAATAACGGGGTTTATGGTTGAGCTCGATCGCCACCTGCTGGACTGTCTGCCTGCCTGCAGTCAGTGTGTAACCGAGCAGCTTTCGGAGGAGAGCGCAGAGTGTTGGAAACAGTGAAAAGTGTCACTGGCTGCGCTTTTCCTGCTTTATTTGTTGTTTCTCTGAAGCTTTGGTCCGTGTTCCCGTTGCATCGCTCCCCGCCGGGACTGCGACGATTCATCGAGTAATTCCAACGAATCGATTAAGAAAAATTCTCGACACATTCTTCGCATCGATTGTTGTCTAACGCGCGGCTCTGTAGCAGATGTGTTTAAACACCAGCGTTTCTCCGACAGTTTCAACTGAAACAAACCTGCAACAGAAACGTATGTAGGAGCAGTGAATGAATGAGAGCCCCCAGCTTTAACATCACACTGCAGAACAACAGCAGCATTGATGATTAAGCGGGCACAGTTTAACGTGGAGCTGGAGTATGGGCTCAAAATGTGGTCATAAATATTTTGTACTTGTAAATCAGGATTTGTATGTGTAAAAAAGATTTGTGTGTGGACTTAGCCAAAAA